TAGTGTCATCAAAAGTTTAAAAATTAAGGTTTCATCCTCTCAAAACTTTTCATCACTTTCAAAATTTTAACATATGCACTGTGAATAAAACAAAAGGTAATCAGTAAAAGTGCTGCATTCCGAAGTGCCAATACGTCTGCAAAGATGCATAAATGCAACAGTGGCTTCACATTAGTTACTGATATCTTTTGGATTTTTTAAATATTTACAATCCAAGTGAATGATACAACTCTGTTATACTGGATTACCAATTGTTGGTATACCTACATTTCAGGGTGTCAGCTGCAGTCAAAAACGTACCCTAAAGCTCAAACAAAATGTACAAAATTAGCAGTACTTTAAAACATGTGTAAATTTATTAAAGATTGACAACCACAATAATTCTTCACCGGTCTTCCTTTTTCCCGTTCCAATTATAAATTCTCAATAAAAAGAACACAAGGTAGTGTAAAAACACCAAAACTTTGACTTAGATGATCTTTAAATTATACTTGGTTTACAATATTTAAACGGTTTGGGGGTAAGTTCCCTCACCATTTCTTTGTACATACTTAATGAATGTTGCTTAATCAGCTGTTGAGCTATTATTTTAAAGGTAAGAATAGAGTGAAGTGAACGAAGTAATGAAAACGGCGTTAGTATCTTCTTATACCTTAATTGCACCATATGTTTTATCTATGGTTTTTATCTATGGTTGCACTAATAAAATATTTTCGGCCAAATTGTTATGTTAATAATGTTCATGGACTTTAACTTTTAAAGGAAAACGATAACGTAATTAGATGTTCACACATAGACCTACACGGATTCTAAAATGCGTAACTGTAAAATTCAGAAACACTCGCATAGCTTTTGGCCAAACAGCGTAGTCGTAGGTGGGACGACCTAGACGCTCTGAGATGCTAATAAAGGGGCTCTGTGTGCTGATACACAACTGTTCTAGATTGTGCCGTGATGAAGCTATTGATGACGCTGATGACAGGAGCGTCAATAGTCAATAACTCGTTAGAGGCCATCTAGCCATCTATTAATTTGACCATGGTTATATGGTTAAATATACCAAAACCACAATAGGCCCGTACAAATAAGGAAATAGTTATTTGTGTGTGCGAAGTGGCACTTTGCTGCACATAAGAGATATGTTTACGCACGACCCTAGGCAAGTGTGGACAGTTTCTTGAGTGCAGCAAAGACAGTTTGCACTCGCGTTACAGATTATATCTTTCCTACAGTTACTATAGAGCATATAATAAGTTTTTCAAACACTATACAACACGTTTTTAGGTTAGGTTAAATGCAAGAAGTGTTGAATGAAATGGGAAACGCTGCACGAGATGATCGTAGTCATAGTATCTTAAAGTGTTGTCAACTTATTTTCAAGCGTACACGTATTACGTGCCTAATAAAAGCACGCTGTTTCGTGTTGTTTCGTTTGAATACTGGAGTGCGGCTAAAGTAAGTAAATGCAGCAATCAGCAACTTTCTGTACGGTGCATCTGTGCAAGGAAGCCCACTTTGTCCGATGACTGTAGGTAAAATTAATTATCTACCCTATCTGCCAATGTTATAACGCCTCAGAGACGGGTTCAGTTTAAACAGTGCGTTTTTCTGAACACTCCGATAACGTCACAAAAAATACGTTAAATAGACATGCGTTGTTCGATAAAGAAAACAGAAGTGAGCTTGACTTTTATTAAAGTCATATTGTTTATGGTTATAATGCACTAAATTAAATTACATTCTCGTAGAGGGTTTTGTGAAATAGATATAGGAAAGGGATAGTTCCTGTCACCTATAATACCTCATTTATTTTCCTGTTAATTAATTTTGTAGGATTCACTTACTTTTATTGATAGAACCAACGAACTTTACTTCACCTATACATAAAGCAGATATATAGTTTTTTATTTGTATCTCAAACTTCCGTAGAGTCCATGGGGTCAAAACATTGAATGTAGCCATACAACATCCCAAGCCATTTTTAAGTAATCCCAGGCCTCCAGAACGTAACATCAGTTGGACCAGTCTGGACTAGTCGCGCTCCCTTTTAGTTTCTCTCCCTATACATAATGCAGTATACGGCATGGACAAAAGTATCGTAGTAATAATTTACGAGTTTGATTTTTGGATGAAAATATCCATTTCAGGTCCTCCTGGACCCAACAAAGTGGTTTTCGAAGCTATATCTGTGTGTGTGTCTGTATTTGAGTGGATGTGTACATAGCTACAGACTACACCTGTGGTCCAATTTTAATGACATTCTGTATGCGAGTACTAATTCATGGTATACTTCCATATATACTCAATTAGTACCCCAAACATACATCTATACCATGGTATACTCCATGGTATACCATCCATAGTATACTTCAGGCATTCTGGTATTTTTTTTAATACTTATTTTGAATGGTGATTTTCCCATAAAACCCATAAAATAACAGAAACTCCTATTTTCACCTATATAAATTTTGATAAAAAATGTGTACATTGTGGTACAGTGATGGTTGTAATGATACAACCCCAAATTTATGTAATCATTACAGTCCAAAAGCTAGACTCCCACCACTCGCTTACCCATTAGGGCCTGCAATTATTGTTGTTGACAATTGGAGAAATTATATGTAGGCCTAGTTTGCTGAGGGCGTTTTTACTTACTGATTCTTGTATAAAGGTTAGGGTAAAAATACCAATAATTAAACCCCAAACTAGCCTATGTTTTTGCACAGTAAGTTTCACTCTCAAAGTACATTAAAAACCATCGGAATGCCAAATTGATAGTTCATTTATTTGAGCCAAGGAATGTTTGATTACTTTATTGTAACTCCCACAAAAGCATAACCTATATCACAAAGAACCTGAAATAAAATTTAAAATAATTGTATTGTGTATTGTTATCAATATAAATATAATACGCTTGCTTAACGAATTCCAATAAATGACAAATACATAGCAAGATTTTAGGCCTTTTCATTTTTTTTTTCAAAGTGAACATAAGCTTGTCTATAAAAAACAAACAGCATGCCTGGTAAAACAAATGGTTGCGTTCCTGATAATTTTCTATTACAAACCAATTTTACAGTTGGAATTAAAATTAATTTTTAACCTATTATTTAATGTGAGTAAAAAAACATTCAACGCAAAATATTTCAAAATGTTAGGTACTTTCCTGTTAAAGGGAACATTCATTATTATCGATGATTTGTTCTGTCGATATATCGATATTAACAAATTGAAACATATCAGCTGACAACTACGATAAATATTGTTCAGTATCAACAAACAATAATGAAATGAAACTGTTATAAAAAATAACCTAACATAACTAACCAAACTTGCTGTGTAACATTTAAAAATTCCGTGTTTAACTTGCCTTTTCTGTTATCAAACGGAATTTTTAAATGGTTCAGCGAGTTTGGTTGGTTATGTTAGGTTAGCTTAGAACGGTTTCATTTCTTAATCCATATAATAGACTATTTTAGCCTAAACAAGATCAGTTGTCAATGTGTAATGGATCGGAAAACAAAAGTATCGATATATCGAAAACATCATCGATAATAATGAATGTCCCCTTTAACAGGAAAGTACCATATGGGTAACAAAGAAAAGGGTAAATAATCAATTTAAAATTATTTTGTAAATTGAGTTACTTTTGTGGGAACTACATCAATACACAAATGTTAATTTTACAACATAACCTGTTTAAGCATAATGGGTTTATAAATTTACTTTATTTACTCACGCTTGTTGGTGACTCGATTTAGGTCTTTTGTCAAACAATATAAAACTCCTTATCAATTGGTAACAGTCGTAAACAACTACCTTATAAAAAGGTTACACATGCCATTCACAAATAACTTTTCTTACCAAACAAAAAACATAGTTTTAGCCTATATAAAGTAATATCTCGTACATATCGACTCTAATATTCTAATTTATTCTAATATTTAGGTTAAGTCGGACAACACGTTAAACTACTAATTAACATTTGTGGTTTAAGGTCAGCAACATTTAATCACATAGCAATCATATTACCTAATTAATTCCTACCAAATTTCTGGAGTACAATGTGTCGGCAATATCGTAGTCAACAAGTATTTAATGAACAATGGAATTCGCTTGAGCAATTTTTTGATATCAATCAGGTTATGAAAGAAATTACTTTACTACAGTAAACGATTGAAAAAAGAATTATTTTACTTCTTTATTTGAATTGTCAAAGTTTGAAACACTATGTTGAATAAACGAGAGCCTCATTATCGTGTATAAAACAATATAAATCTTTCACATTTCGCCCCTACGGTTCCAGTCCCACACTCTAACACAGATAACAGTAAACAAATTCTGTATTGGTATAAATGATGGTCTGGCTAAGCCTGAAATAGATGGATCGTTTATATACGCAATGTGGATCTGTTTTATATTTTTTATTTAAAAATTTTAAATACATTTTTGAATAGGTTTTTAAGAAAAATATTTCATTGCAAATTATTAAAAAATTACATTCACCAAAATTAATGAAATATCATGTATAGCGATTTAGACATTACAAAATGTGCTTATGTTCTTATAAGAATATTTCAAAACGAGATTCGTACACTTAAAAACTATCATCAAACTTTTGAATTTCTAGCTTTAAAATTGCACCCCAGTCGATATTTAAACGGTAAATGCTATAAACACAAAGTAGAAACACAACAATATTTTAAACCATCATAGAAGATGTGAACTACCTAATTGTTACAAATGATGAACTTTAATTTAAAGAGTAAAAAAACTAATGCAAGTAATTATTCAATCATTTACACTCCAAAAACAGCAATATTTACACAAATTGAAAAAAAAAACTCATATAAAATATGCAAAAAGTCGTATAAAAAATCTGGTCAAATTATTTCTGGTAAGATTCTTATCAAAGATTTTCTATTTTATCATGATAAAAACAAATAAATGACGATTAAAAGTATCAAATTAAAATTTACCATAAATACGTAAGTACTCACTGAAGAATTAATAGGAGAGGTATGACCAAGAACAAGTGATGAACAAAATGACAGGTGACTTCTGATGGTCGACTTCTACTTGTGGTGGTAACACTGGGTGACGTCATTCATTGTTGGCAGCAGTGGCTTCTGCTGTAAACTATAGAGGCTACTTCGGTCAGGTGATTTATTAGTTTAGAACAAATCATAAGACATTTTAGCCTCACGATGAGTATGTGAAGTAAGAAGTAGATAAGTTAAAATTATACAATATCTACAACAATTTTGTGTGTTAATGGTAAAAAAAATGAATACACACAACTTTCGACAAACTGTTCTTTTTCCAAGAACATGAATAACCTAAATTTGTAATATTGGATTTTATTATGAATAGTAACCCATTTTGTAGAACAATAGAGGTTGAGAAACTAATATTTATACTTGAATTTGATTTGAATTATTTGAATTTTGATTATGGAGCAACAAATTTGACCTTACACAAATATAAAAAAAAAACACAATTAAGTGTGAAATTTTGCCTAAGTTAAATAATTACATTAAAATCCAATTCAAACATTTTTGTACTCCTCTATAAATTTGATTGTACATAATGAGTAAACATATTATGTGATGTAACCAATGTGAAATGCATTGCTATTAAATAATAAAATAATCTGACCCGTCAAAACATAGTTTCTGGTTGCAGTGTTTAACGATGTTTGATTTTAAATAGTTATAAAACCTAGTCTAATAAACTAACCCAATATTGCCATAATGAATGGTTTATAATACATATAAACTACATACTAACAAGCATTTCTGCCATCCAAAATTAATTTGTAGACATCTAAGTTTACTTGAATGTAAATATTATTCTATCCAATGTAAAGAAAAAAAATATTTTTTACCATATTTAGCAATTTAAAGTTACTGTAAGTATCAACACATAAAATGCCAAAGAACGCTTACAGATCAAAACTAGTTGAGACGGGGACACCACCTAGGTGTGTATTTTTACCCAAATATGAGTGTAAAATGGGGTGAGATGAACTGTATAGCTTTGTTACTGACTAAGATCTGATGTTTCATCAGTCAGGGTAATTTATTTAGCCTAACGATCAGAGGGATAGCTGGGTCCAGTTTTGAACCATAAAAAACTCTTAACCTTTCTCAATGTTGAACCGGTGACCTTTTCATTTTAGACGAGCACTTACTGAGCTACCAAACCAGTTATGCCCCTGTCACCATTGAATATACACAGAATAGACTTCCCACGGAATATACAAATTTGAAGCCAAGAATATAGATAAAGTTCAGGGCCAACTCGCCAGAGGGCACTAGTGTATTAGGCTAAATCATTGACTTAAATATTAAATGAATCAATTTAGTGTCATAGCGAACAGCCGGTTGATTTTTCACTTAACACATAATATTGTCGTTAGTTCGTAGAACATCTCAACAGATGGCACAAGGTGTTTTGGCTTCAAATGTTTACATTATATGGGAGGTCTATTCTGTGTTTAGTCAGTGCTGTCACCAACAACACAGGATCTACCAACTTTACAAAAATTTCATGAACAGATTTTCTTCTGTATGCAAATTAGTCGTTCTTTTACTAAATAAATAAGCTAAAGAACAATGAATAGTAGCAAACATTAAATTAGTTTTTCAAGTCCTCATATATACAATTGCATATTGTCTAGGAAATTAAAATAAAGCTAGAAGAAGAACAAAGATAGCTGCCTGGCTAGTGGATGCATTAGGTCAGTGGCCTGGAGTCATATAGAGTATTGAATTACATGAATAGTCATGAAGGTTTAACATAATTTCACTGACCGGCTCACATACACAGCCTCTACAATACAACTGTTAACTCTCAATGATTTCTACTCACACCGCCATGTATTGGGTTTATTTTAAAGAAATGTATGTATTCTCCCGCTAACGATAAGCTGATAAGTTAAAATATCCCTCGATATACCACAAAGCTAGGGAAAAAATTATCTGAAAATTTGAAACAGTGCTGCAAATTTAAGTAATACGATGTAAATATGGTAAGTAAATTGTATTGCTCACTTACTAAAAAAAATATTTTAAATAACTGGTAACAGAAAATCTAATTGATACAAGCTGATGCATTCTCGCCTTTAAAAGTTAAAAATATATATTATTCAGTATTTACCGTAGTACGAAATCATTACCTCCCACTGGGATTTCAACTAAGCTCTGATTAAACTGAAGCAACTAACTCATCATCATGTCTGATACAAATTTCAACTGATTTTGAAATATTTAATATGATAGGACGCTGAGATAGTCATCGCATACATTTATAGTTTTTAATCATAACATATTACATTAAGCTATAACATTATCACATTTAAAATATACGGAATCCAAAATGTGAATTAATCAATGATCAAAAATACAATTAATACAACGATTAATTAAAAATCAATTTTTAACATGGCCCCGAACCATCCTTCTCCGTGGGGATTTCAGAAAGTTAATATGGTTCAATTAAATGGGTCGGACGCGGTTCATAAAAGAATGATATTAAAATTTTGGACTTGACATGAACAAAGGGTTGTGGCCTGTTGCTTCAGCACAAAACGAGGAACAGGGAATGAGTTTTATACTAAAGAATTAGAGGAAATATGTTAAATAAGGATATAGGATTATTATAATTTACTGGAATGAATCAATCCTAGAAATTTACACTCATTGCCAGGGAATATAATCCAGAACCATCTGATTCGCAACAAATATATTTGCTCCTAAGTAGACAACCTAAAATTTTGAATACTTGGTTTGACATCTTTGAAAAATATCCGGTTATCAAAACTTAAAATTATTAGAAATTCTGTTATGACCCAATAATACCATACCTCAAGGAATATGCTAGTAGAAACATTGTTAGATATCAAAAGTTCTTTGAAGACTTATCCAGAGCGATAATTTTTTTTAATTTCTTAATAGTTACAATAACGTAGAATTTGGGATGAATATTATACAACTTCTTGTGATCCAACAGCTTGCACCAAACATAAAATCTACAGATAAAGTTTGTTTTGTTGATAATTTAAATTAAGTTATGAACATACAAAGACATTTTATAGTATAAGCTTTTAATGATTATGCATTTTTCCCAATGCGTGCAACGTATTTTTGATCAAATTTCCTTCTACTCTATGTATAACTCACTGGCAACATTTTACGAAATGAGAAAAAAGTAGTTTGCGTATATCTTGTGCTAAGTTAGTACCTAATAAATCAATTTGTTTCCCTTGTTTAAAACGTATTGCACACTCAGAAATTTTCTTACTCTCACTTTATATGACCTAGCTATAAATTTCCACTTATAAGTTAAATTTAACAAAGTGTTTATATTTAAGTAGAACTGATATTCTAGTTCTAAAAGTGTTTACAATTTTTACCCACATGAATGTATTTAATTATTTATAATTTCACTTATAAAATATTTGAATAAAATTTTTTGTGTAATCGACACCTTACAAGTCGAATTTTTATATAGTTTTGTTTTATTTTATCCATAGTTTTGATATAAGAATTGTATAACGTTCATTCGGTAAGGTATTTTTTGCATTTTACTTAATTCGAAAAATATATTTTAAAAACATTTACAGAAGATATGTTTATTAAATAAAATCTAAGAACATCGCAGGGAGAATATGATTCTTATGAAGACCATGTAGATTTTTTATTTTGGTAGTTTTTACTGTGTAAGTAATGCGAGTTTATTTAGGCCTATAATTATTTTCAATGACTTGAGACGACAGGGTCGTGCACAAAATGTTGTGCAAATAGCACCATTACGTGAGCATGATTAAATATTATTATATCATTGGTTTTTTTACATATTTTACACTGATTTTCTAATCTCATGGAAATTATACGTATGTAGAACTATGATTATTTTTTAACGGCCACTAAGACACTAAAAATGCTCGGTTCCCTAGTACTATATTTAAAAAACTACAGAATATAGGTTTATTAAATAACAACTAAGAACATCATAGTGGGTATACGATTACTTATGAAGACCATTTCGATTACTCTATAAAGATTTATCATAAAGGTTTATGGTAAGAAAACCTCGGTACATTTTCAAATACCTTATCACATATTGCACTCGTCAACATAAACTCAAGTTCCACATGTTCTCATATACATCAGCTTAGTCTGTATCTCACTCAGGGTTGGCTGCAGAAGATCGTCACAACACTTCCTGAACTCTTCTAAATTTCCAAGAGGAACAAATTTTAGGCAGTTGCTGAAAACGAGTTCAACTCTTGCAGTAAACTCACCAACCAACGGGGAAAACTCGTTGGAGCAGTTAGTTTTGTGAGCGAGTTTTGCGTTTTCCACCATAACGTAGAACTCATTGATCTTCTTCGTCGCGTCCAAGTTGGTTTTCACTTCTGCTACTTGCTGGGCCCACTCTGCCTCGCTTGGGAGTGGTTTTGAGGTGTTATTGTTTTTGTTTTCCTGGAGAAAAAGTATTTTCAAAACTCCTAACGAAACATTATAATACATATAATTATATTATATAACGTAATGATAGGAAGTTAATATTGAAAATTGGTTAATTATCATGGAGTCAGCAGACGTTACCTTGCTTATATGTCTGAAAGTTTATATAACTTGATTCCCAGCAAAATATGCACTTCACATTAATATTTATTAATGGCTATTTGGACATAGATTTGTATATGGTTTTCTTGTATGAAACTATATTGTCTAACTACTGTGTTAATCTAAGATTTTTACAAACTAAAGGAAAATTTGATTTGAATTATTATTTAGTTGCTTTTTAGTAGTATAGTTATAATTTTTAGAGTACAACAAAGATATTTCCCTAATAATAGAACGTGATATAGTTGGCTACTCCGCTTTTGTGTTGCATACATAAAATACGCTAAACGTCTTTTAACGTCTTGTAAATATTGTTGTTTGATTACAGGTCTAAGCTCCCTAAACATTTAAACACATTTGTGAGATTAAATTCTTTACCATAAAAGATAAAAGCAAGAACGAAGTTTCTCGACTTAAACCATCCCAGGCACAGACAATTAATTCAACGAGCAAAACTCTCATTGTAACAACTAGTGTAGTCTTTTAGGACACGAGAAAATAATCAGACATACACATAAAACATACTGGAAGGCGATAAAATTATATAACTGACCTTCCCACTCAAGCAGTCCCGAAGATAGTTGATTTCTTGGACAAGAATTCCTAAATCACTGTTAGCATTTTCCTCCATACTTTTATGTAGGGAATGTAAGTTCTTGGATGCGTTCGAAGAACGAAGTTTCCAGCGATGAGTGATTTGGTTCATATTCTCGTAGCTGTTCAAAATAAAAATACAACTTCTGATGAATATGTTCCAAAAGGCAACGGGATCATGCTGCAAACTCAAACAGAATAAGAAGAAGGCCGACTTTGATAAAAAAACAAGACTCGATATAGCAAAATTCATTTGTTAACTAATTAACGGTAATTTTAAATTGTTTTTAAAATTTCATATATTCAAGCTAAAATATTTACTAGATGTATAAGACTTGTCTAATTTTTGTTGCTGTGCTTATACATTTTTGGAGAGTGGGGTTTGAAAAATAATTGCGCAACCGATTCATTGAAAACGGTTGTTCGTTATTGTTATCATTATTATCATAATTAGCTAATTATTAGTATCTTTTTCATTATTAGTTATTAATATGTCAACGGTTTTCGTTTTTACACTGAAGAATAATGCTCACTTTCTTGTACTGTTGTAGACACAATCAGGATTTTCTCGCTGAACTTTCTGTACATGATCTTGGTGGAGTAGAATAGCTCTTCGGTATAGATTCACTCTCCACAACAACTCTTGATCAGTCCACTGCGACCGGTCGTTCTCCATTGAGAGTACCTGAAAACATTCAATAAGTAAATCATTGAAGTTACTACTGGAAAAATGTTATAGGCATCTGTTGAAGGTTCGCTCTCTGTAAAAAAACAAGCCTTAACCTTACTTCTTAACCCATAGTTTAGACTAGCTGTTTGCCCGTTCTACGTACGGGAATCTTGTGGTAAGTTAAAACCTTATATTCAGAACAGGAGTTGGTTTGCATATTTAGTGTGCACTAGCTGTGTACCCGTTCTACGCACGGGGATCTTATAATATTCAGTTGAAACCTTCTTATATAACGAACAGCAGTTGGTTTGCATATTTTAAGATATGCTGGCCAAACTATTATACATAGCTTCATTTTATGTTGTTTTTTGTTGTTCCGGATCGGTATGACAATCAATAAAAGGTTAAATTACCTCTGTGTCTGCCGGTCGATCCTATAACGGTAGGCTTACTTTTATTTTTACTATCTGATCTCGTTTGCATGGCTCAATCACGTCCTGGTTGAAGTTCGTTCGCTACGCTCACTCACCTGTATGTTGGAGCTCGTTCGCTGCGCTCACTTTCCTTCAGGTTAGCTCGTTCGCTACGCTCACTTGCCTTCAGGTTAGCTCGTTCGCTACGCTCACTCGCCTCCAGGTTGCAAATTAGCTGTAGTCATAAATGTAAAAGAAATAATAGTGCTAGTGCTGCACCCTGTTGGTAATCCTTGTAACTTTAATGCTATTGAACATCACAGAACAGAACCAACTTGTTTAATTGAAACAGCTGTTAAGATTCAATAATTTCATTTCTCATAAGGTTAACATGGGCTTCCAGAAATTCCACGTCAAAAATCGACAAAAACTTGATTTTCAAGGGTTTACTGTTAAATATCTAACTGTCTCATATTCGATGAAATACGTCTAAAACCATCTCATATATGTATAGTATTTGGAAAATAAGTTTCAGGCGGGACAGTGCTATAGTTATTGAGGAGTAGTTGTAATAAAGTGCGTATTTTAGCGTTACCAAGAGAATGACAGATAGACAGACAGACAGACAGACAGACAGACAGACAGAAATTGAGATAAGGTTTGATTCGGTTTCTCTGACCTATGAAATGTAAAAATAACCAAAAAGTTCATTATTCTAAGCAATGTACAGACAAAACTCTAATTTTATTTATATAGATTTTTCCAGATATGATGGCAAAACTATAATTGTTTAGGAATACATATAGGTAAAAACCTTCTCAAATACAATATCTGACAGTTTCAAAGCCAAAACGAATGCTTCGCAATTAAATGTCACCCGATCGTGTTAGTCCATATTTGATATCTAATGATGAAAGGAATTGCTTTACAGTATAGATCTATGAGGCATAGCCCTAAGGTAGGCCTGTAATTGAAAGCTACTTTTCACACTGGTTAAAAGTAGTTAAAACACTACCTCAACCTCACTACTGCACACTTTATTCGGGTTGAAATTTCTATTAACAATGGTGCTCTCGTCTTTTCCACGAAAAATAATGACATTAATGCGTTACCAATAATAGACATACACACACAAATACAGAATTGAGTCCACACAACATTTTGGAGTCCAGACAGAAAACGCTAAAAATTATACAGTAAGACATCAATTAAATTTAATAAGCAATAAGGTGCAGTGTTTATAAATAAATAGTGAAGATAGTGATGTGTTTGTATGTAAAAATTATTCTTACTGCTACCAACGTTTACATTTGAGAAAATAACTGTAGTACTTACGACTAATTCAAACTGTCCTTCTAATCAAACTGTATTATAGGTGTTAATCTGTTTGCAAATATATAAATAAATAAATACACAGGCCACAAAACATGGAACATGTAACGTTAACAACGTAAAGCTTTGAAAAATCACTATGGTTTGCTAAAAAAAACTTTCACTTGATGTGGTGCAGTACCGAAGTTATTAATCTCCTTTGGTTTAAATTTTTTTTTTTAGTTTTAGAAAATCAAAGTTATTTCCCATTAATAGCATTATTTGTAAGCAGCTTTTAATGTTAACATATTAATGACAGTTTGACGAAACCGCCTTTATCCAAACAAAGGTTTCTTATTTAAAAGATTACGTAATCTCTAAACAATAATCGGTACATATATCTAGCAAACATTCGGAGGAAATGTGAAGAAAAACGCACAAATCTGGGGTTTTGCACGTTTGTAGTTTTATTTCATAAGTAGGAAAAGTACCGATATCGTTGTCGAAATTTATGCCTAAGTAAGTAGAAACCAAAAGTGACACATAGGAAAAGCGAGTTTAGCTACATCTGTTAAGTTAAACCTCTGTTACGGTACGATCACAGCGAAATCAGAAAGATCTTCCAAGATCGCAGCAACATCCACGATCACCCACTGACTGCAGTTGTGATTTTTTACTTTGCACTTAACACAACTGTCCTTGAAGCGCCGTCAATGAGTGGAAACCTTTGTAAGCTACGGTATTGGTGACGATGATTAAAAAAATGTAAGTTTCCTTGCACTAATACAACACTGATTCATGGTATTTTCCCCGGTTATCAAAACTCAAGAACAATCGTTGCACTTGCGATTAATTAAAGCTGATAAGTAAGGCACAACGTTTTTAATCTCACTTGGTTTGGATGTGCTGACAAAACTTGATCGGAAATGGTTGCGGTATTTGTAAACAACTTTGAATGTAAACATGTCAGTGACAGCTAGAAGTGAGAACTAATCCAAACAGCTGATCGTTATTTCATCAAATGTAATAGTAAACATTGGGAGACAATTTGAAAAAATCAATCAAAATTGGGTTTTTGGTGGTTTGTTATTTTGTTTTCAAAGAAGCGAGGCCATGTTTTTATAGCCAAAGACACTCTCACCAATCCAGTAAATACAGAAAAATGATTAGAACCTTGATCGGTACTCTAGTTTTCTAGGAGTAGGCCGCGTAAAATGACATTTTGGCGTTACAGACGCAGTCACAGAATGGACAAACAGACAAACAAACAGACATACAGACAGTAATTGAGATAAGACTCGTTTCGGCTTTCTTAGGCTATGAAACGTAAAAATAACCAAAAAATGCATGATTCTAAGCAATGTACAGACAAAACTGTAATTTTATTTATATTTTTATTTATATAGATTCCCATGTTAACCTTGAGTATTCATAATTAAAAGGAATTAAAGAATCTTAACAGCCGTTTCTACTAAACAAGTTGATTTTATGATGTTCAATGCCAATTAAAAAGTTACAAGGTTTACTAGCAGGGTGCAGCACTATTAATTGTTTAGTTTAAATATATGACAACAACTACTGTAATTTGAACTAAGGAGTAACAAAAAACAGTGATGCTGTGAAACACAATGAACACTGTCAAAGTAGGAATTTTTACAATTATAATAATGTTTTAACTTAATTAATAATTTGTGGCACTGTGCGAATATGGTGTTTTTATTTTTCAAGTGCATATAATTCATCAAATTATTGACTTTTTTCAAAATGTGTATAAAAATGTATTGTGTTGGTATGTTTGTTTCCCCCCAAAAAATAATGTCTAAGAAATGTAGTAGACAGTTAATCCTTTTATTTACGACAGTTTTTAAACGTACCTTTAAAATTAAGTTCTTAGAATTTAAACAATTCACTTAACGATTTCATTGTTTACTGGACTGTTTTGTTTGGACCAATGAGTTTCAAGGATTGACAGAAAAGAAGTAAAACTGTAATGCTTTGAACATCATCTTATCAGCTGTAATGACCGATTTAACTGATTATACTGTACAATGAGTGAGTGGTTGGGATGGGACAATGAGTCGTTGCATCACAATCAGTGGCAATGAAAGGTTGGCAATCAAAAGTAGCAACCGTAAACATAACCTCACTTAGTCGTTAATCACTTAGTCGTAGTGATTGTTAGTAAAAACTGTCGTAGGTAGGAAAGTTTGGAATTGTAAGTTTGTAAAAAGTTTAAAGTTTCAACAAGTGGTAGCTCCACTGTGTGTTGTGACTAGTGAATAAATCCTTCCGCCACAAATCCTACCACGGATTTTCATGATGCGGAAGGATTCTTTTATAATTCAATGATACTTTAAAGTTTGTTATCATGATCAACAAAGTAATTTAAAACATTAGAGGCAATAGGTAAACCATGACTGTCTCTTTTTGTAAAATATTTTTAAGTTATGTGGATGCTAGTATTTTTGTGAGATACAAATCAGGAATACTAAGTTTAACTGTTGTGCTTAAAATACGCTAATTTATTCTTCCTAATAATAACATAAGAGTTAACGAACTATGTTTAGAACTATGAAAACAATAATAAATCAAAATATTAACTACCTGAAATGTGTTATCTTAGTTAACAATAGTTAGAACTAGTCACATTTTATACTTATATACATCTTATATAAAATCGTTACGTTCCAACTGCAATTTTTTGACCTGTGAACCTTTTTTTTACTATACAATTGAATACTTGTGGTATTGTAACTTTACTTTATTGAGTACTGGTATTGTAAAAAATATGTAATTTGTGTAAAATATGTAATTTGACTTACGTGCACGACGCAATTAAGAGCACAGCACAACAACACGCGCCTCAGTGACTCCTCCATGGCTGACTATGCTCCTTATCAGACACGGTTGTGAAATCTTCACGCTTTTGCAACAGATAACACATCCGTAAACCGTTTATCAGCTAAAGTTGTTGAACTAATCTAGTTGTTTGTAAGTGTTAACGGCGTATAGGATATATTGTAGCATAAGATTTGGGGGAAACGTTTTGATGAAGGAAAATTCGGGAAACTCCTTCATTGTGATTTATTTTGTTTAACTGGTTACATATAATAAATTAGTACCTGGGACGCAACCATTTTGGTATAATGTATTTCCATTGTATACCTATATCGAGTAATAATCAGTGTTAGTTAATCTTTGCTCTGTAGTAACAACTGATGCTTTTCCATTTGTACTGTATTTTGTAATTTGCTAGTATACTGATCATATGACAGTAACAAGGCTATCATCTCATCCAAACAACACTCTACCTTTACTGATCTTCGTCTTATAAATAATCCCTTGATCTTAAATACGCACCTAGAGTGCTAAGCACCGTGTTAATCCATTCTAATGGACATTTTTATTGGGCTGAAAATAAAAAGGGGGAGTCTTCTATATACATGTTATATTGTGTGGTCAGAACAAAAGCTTTGGTTTCACGTCAGTGGATGGCTTGAATGGATACAATCAAAATAAAACAAAACATGTTTACAAATAGGTACCTAGGTACAAATAGGTAAAAGAGTATTCAAGATGTTACATTTAGTCATCAAAACAAATATCTTATCACAATGATTTGTTTATATCCAATTTATTTCTACCACATTCATTTCTAAAACACTTTGACCCAAGTAGTTTGATGACAAACATAAAAAATGCAAACGTGTTACATAATAAAAGAATCAATGTATTTATAAACTAAACAACTCATTCCACAGAGGTGAATCTGTTAGCGTGCAAAGGGGAAGTCTTACAAAATGATAAACACTAGTTTGCGTAAATCTTCAAGCAAGTACTGTATAGATCAATTTATGCTCCATATTTCTAAATGAAACTCACAACGTATTATGAAATTGCTTCTCTTTTGTGTATTCTTCCTTGAAGCTCTTTACATAGTACAAAGTAGATGCACATTTAGTTCTATTGGTTTACCTATTTATTTTATTTAGTAGACATTTAACTGAGTACGTGATGGTGTCATTTTTGCAAATAGCGTATTTTATAAATTATGTGTCCTATATGTTGTACAAAATTAAATAAAACTGTTGAATAGGAGTTTTGACGTTATAACACAATACAATGATGTAAGCGTGTAAGCATGTAAATGTTGTAGGCGTATAAACGTCTATATAGATAAAGAATTGAATCATTTGTGGCATCTATAAACTCTTCTATTTCACCTCTTCTTTTGATCATCGCATATGTGTCAAAGTCATGTATCTCCAGGTCGACAGGGAAATTCAATACGTCGCTGAAATATAAACAAAACATTTCCCCACAGAGTCCGCACTAGCAATGCTTTGTGAATGCACTCGCACCTTAATAACTGATCAGCTCAATATACACTCAACACAAACCATCTCACATCTATACTTATAAAAGGCAAAGCCCTCACTGACTGACTCACTCACTCATCACTAATTCTCCCACTTCCCATTTACCTAGGAGGCTGAAATTCGGTACACCGATTCTTTGGGCATTAAATAGGAAACACAAGTAGTTTTTATTCTGATCGGGCTTTCAGTCTCCGCCCCAGTGGCCCTGGAGTTTCCCATGTTAACCTTATGATTTTTCATATTTAACAGGAATAATTAATGAATCTTAACAGCTGTTTCAATTATACAAGTTGGTTCTGTTCTATGATGTTCAATAGCATTAAAGTTACAAGGATAACCAACAGGGTGCAGCACTATTTTTTCAATTTATGACAACAGCTAATTTGCAACCAAAAGGTGAGTAAGCGTAGCGAACGAACTTCAACCTAGAGGTGAGTTAGCAAAGCGAACGAGCTAACCTGAAGGCAAGTGAGCGTAGCGAACGAACTTCAACCAGGACGTGATGGAGCCATGCGAACGAGCTCATCTTGAAAATTAAGAAGTTAAACGTGGCAAAGCCCGCGGGTACAGCTAGTAACTACATATGTTTCACTTTATCTACACAACGCATAGTTTGGACACATACTGCGTCTTCGGTCATAAGTGTTAAAGAAAATATACACAGCAAGTGTTTTTTCCTTCCACCATGGGGATACATGGTAAATTTGTAGGTGATATAAACAAACTTGAACTATAATTAAATTTATTATATCCTGTATATTATACAATCAGCTGATCAATAAAATTTTCTTTGTTTATTATGAATGCAAAACAAACAAAACAAGTTCAGTTTCGAGTTAATACATCTTTACATCATGAACCTTGTTAAACTTGTGAATTAAGTTGGTGTTTAATAAACAATAATGGTGACGACTCAAAGAAAAATAAATCAAGCATTACTGTTATATCAACAAGAGAAATTTAGTTAGGAAAAGGAACAAAAGATTCGTCCCCCTCTTCAAAAGTTGGAACCTTATGATGAAGGTAATGAAACATTTACAACATACTTACTTTGAGTTAAACAGGTAGCTTGACCAGTTCATTATACGATTTGGAATTTGGTTAGTCTGGGGTACATAAATCATTTAAGGGTTGACAATTCTTTGGATTAAGGAAGCTAATTAACACCTGCACGCGTGTTTTGTCATCATCCTCCCCCAAAACCATTCAATTCAAGATAATTAGTGAGTCTGTTGTGATATAGAAAATCCAAGATGGCCGGCAGTTCTGCTGACTCTTAAAGCTGTTTACATAATAACTGTCGTTATCTAACTCGCCTCCAGGTTTAAGTTCGTTCGCTACGCTCACTCACCTTTTGGTTGCAAATTAGCTGTTGTCATAAATTTAAAAAAAATTAATAGTGCTGCACCATGTTGGTAAACCTATTAACTTTTTAATGCTATTGAACATCACAGAATCAAATCTTTTAGTTGATCACCAGTTAAGATTCTTTAATTCCATTTAAATATGAGTACCCATAAGGTTAACATGGGAAACTCCAGAGCCACTGGGGTGGAGCTCTTTTGATAGATATGCACCAAACTTCACACAAACCATCCTTGAATAATGCCTGAAAGTTTTATTAAAATCTGTCTAGCGGTTTAGGAATCCATAAAGGACAAACAAACATACATTGGATTTTATATATATAGGTCACTCAACACAACTCAACACGCTTAATCACTTCTTAATACTCATGACCAGACAGCCGCATAACCTAACCCAATAATTTAATCCTTTTTAACCTGGAAATATTACTAGGATTTATTTTTTTGAGAGATCCAAACGTAACGCGATGTGTAAATTCAACATCCCATTTTGGACGTGGAAATCATACCCGGAACAATATCGTTATCACCCCTCAACGCAACATAAATACTAATACAGCCTACACGGGGTTGGCCTATATCTTAGCGTCAGCGAACATGAGGGAATAATCAGCTATGACTCTACAAATATACAATATATAATATTAGTAGGATTTAGGCAGTTATATTTTTTCCATGCAAATCATATAGAAAGCAAAGCAAAATTATATATACTTCTACATTTAAATCCTCCTCATGGATCGGATGAATACAATTTTAAATTATTTTATATCCGGTAACTTTTAAGTGTTTTATTGTCCAATGATAATTTTGTTAAGTTCCCATCTCTTGTTGTTTGACTTGAAATCTATATCGACATAACATTTCCACATTAGATAGGTAAACTAATGTTTAACCTTTTAGCATCATAACTAAATAGTAAAGCGGGCATTGTAAAATGTAGTGATCACTACGTATAGACAGTAGCAGAGTAGCTATTTTCAGATGTTATGAAAGAAAAAATATTTTTTCCCAAACTAAAATGAATAATTTAAAGCATCTCTTCTTTACCATTTGTTTTATAATTTAAATCAGCTGTTTTTCCATTTCAACAATACAGATATAAACAGAAATAGGCTTAAGCTTGCTTTTCTGGGTTTTAGAATGGTTTTAGCTTCTAGTGCGTTATTGCACAGCAAAACTAAACCGGAACTTCTAATTTGTATGTTGTTATGTAGGTTTGTTATACCCAATTGCTTTTGTTTTTACCATAGAATAGTTTTAATTATAAATTAGGCCTATAATATATATATATTTGTTTACTGAGTTTTATGTGATTATTTTTTTGCGTGTTTATGAAAAGTAAACTCTACTCTTGGGAGTCCAACTACTTCAAAATTAGTAGTGTTGACCACGTATGGATCGTAAACATAAACCAACAATAACAAACATACAAACATAAACATACACCATACATATTATGTCACCGGTCCGAATGTAAACATAATTGAATTTTTTTATGGAACTGTCAGAAAATGTCCAACCCATAATATGTTAATACTATTTTGTTATCCTATACTTGTTAGGAGGCCACTTGTTAATATTCAGGCCAGTGACCTAATTTGTTTATGTTGATGATCCATACAGTTTCTGTTCTGTGTGGTTTCGACTGTATTTTATTGTTTCATTGTTGTTGACTCAGCTGATGTAACTAGTTTTAATTGCCGACGATGAGTGACGTAATGATATCTATTTAATAACAAAGTTTTCTATCAGCTGGAGAGATAAATAAATATTAAAATCTGCCTCTAGGAGAAGATAAGGGAGAGATAACTACGAGTAATACTAGACGCATGATTGCTGTCACTATGTTGATGTTGATCAGTTGCAACGGTGTTAACGAATAATTACCGTAGTGTTTGTTGTAAGTCTAATCAACAATCCAGAATATGTTGAGTGGATTTAAAGACGGTTGTTAGGTAAGTGTTAGAATTAGGAAGTCGAATATTTTGGTTGTAACGAGAATAATGTAACACTTTCATTATGTAATCTAAACGTACATAAATATCTCACATATAACCTAAAATTTAGGTTCGGTATGAGCTCGTTTCAAAACGATACACTTCAACCACTAGTGATGAATTCGACTATTAATGACAAGATATAGAAACGGCGAGCTCACACGTGGCCGCATAATGTGCACAAAAATAAAATATTTGTTACAAGCCTGTCTCCAAAAACACTGTGGATTTTTTACAGGATAAGAAATCTTTATGTTAGTCGCTCCCTCGTTCAAACTAACTTGTTTTGGAGTATTTGCAAATCTCAGCGAATATTTACAACATTCAGGCATAAACGTAGACCATTGAAGTATATTAACACAACTTATATAAACATAGGCGTGTTGCACAAGACAAGCTGTGTTAATATATTTCGATGACGTAGATATGCATGTATAATAAAATTGTTCGAGTCTTGTTTCACAACCAAAAAAAGAGACGGGTAATGACTTCTGTAGCCTTGAAGGTCCCTCGCAAATCTCTAAACAAAACATAAACAACATAATTTATATTAAATGTTACGTTAAATCTATACTATTATAAAAAAGAGGTGGTTGCTGTATGTGTGTATGTGTGTATGGGAAAAGTAAACTCGAAAAATACTGGTCGGATTGGGCTGAAATTTGGCATGATGATAGCTCACATTCCCGATTAACATATAGGCATATTCTTATTTCAAAAATCCTTTCGGGCTCCGCCCCAGTGGCTCTGGAGTTTCCCATGTTAACCTTATGAGAAATGGAATTATTGAATCTTAACAGCTGTTTCAATTAAACAAGTTGGTTCTGTTCTATGATGTTCAATAGCATTAAAGTTACAAGGATTACCAACAGGGTGCAGCACTATTATTTCTTTTACATTTATGACAACAGCTAATTTGCAACCAAAAGGTAAGTGAGCGTAGCGAACGAACTTCAACCTGGAGGCGAGTTAGCGTAGCGAACGAGCTAACCTGAAGGCAAGTGAGCGCAGCGAACGAGCTCCAACCTAAAGGTAAGTGAGCGTAGCGAACGAGCTCCAACCTAAAGGTGAGTGAGCGTAGCGAACGAGCTCCAACCTAAAGGTGAGTGAGCGTAGCGAACAAACTTCAACCAGGACGTGATTGAGCCATGCGAACGAGATAATCTTGAAAATTAAGAAGTTAAACGGGGCAAAGCCCGCGGGTTACAGCTAGTAAAATATAAATTTACAAGTACTAGAGGTCATCCAATGGTAGACTCGACCAAAAATATGTAATCTACAGACGTCTCTAATTTCACCCCATGTGACTGATTTTTCTTCCATTTGTTTTGATTTTCCGTCTATATTTCGTTGTTATTTCGTAAATTTTTGAGCCTATTTTAATTTATAATGCACATCTGCAGGAAAATATATTTCTAACAGTATGCTTAGATTTCGGCTATTGTTGTGCTCGTGGTTTATTTCTGGTCTACGATGAATTATATATGTTGTAAACACGATCAATCAAATAAAATCTTATCATTTTGATGCAATTCGATACAAAAGTGTAAACATAAATTTTGTGCACGATTTTGCGAACCAGCATGATTATCGGGACGGGATTTTATTGGGGAGTTTTATGTGGTAAAAATTTAAGTTCCCTTTTTTACACTCAAAACGTAATAATAATTTGCAATATACTCTAAATTTTTTATAGAGCTAAAACAAATGATTTAGGATAATAAAGCTTTGTTGTGCGTGTTGGGTTACGGACAAAATTGAAAAAAAAATGCTGTAAAATTAAAATTTCATGTTTTTTTTATCTGTCTGTCCCCCTCTTTTTTTACGTCCACATGATATAACTAGTGTCCAGATTTTATGTTATCCCTCGCCTACATTACTAATGAATGAAAGCCATTTCCCCCCTTCCAGTCCTCATTGCCTGAGACAAGTCTACGTTCCTCCTTTATAATATGGTTCAATAGCTGAATTACGAGCCTCCAGGAAGAAATAAGACAGATTTTTTGACTGTATCCCTCTTTACAAGTCCTTAAATTACACCTTTCCCTTGAAATTAGAACCCAATCGACGGCTTATGGTGACCAAATTGTCACACTACAGCTACCACAAAAAAAAACGGTGTGGCTTACTTGTAATACTTAAACAATAGTAACTTCTCTTACACCTACATAAGCTGTGGGCGGAAAGGGCGGCTTTTTGGAGGGAGGGAGTGGGACGCCATTTATATAGCGTCGGGCCACCCCGCGCGGCAATCCGGCGCTCAACACGCTCCAAACCTGCACCAAGTGAGTACCCGACAACACGCCAAACACGTAACTTTGTTGTTGATTTTAACAACACGTCAGGAAATTAGTAATATTGATGTACAGTACCAACAAAATGTCAAATGCGCAATTTTGTTGTTGATTTTAAGAACACGTCAGAAACTAGTATTATGTTGTGCCGGCAATATCTTAAATGCTTAACTTCGTTGTTGTCGTCCGAAAACTAGTCTTGTTGTGCCAAAAAATACCAAAACGTGCTACTTATTTTCTACTAATAACAAGTCACATAAGACATTTTATTGTTGGAGCCAAATACGTTTATTTTTGTTGTGATTACTTCAGAAAACTTGTATGGTTGTTAAGCAAAAAGGCGGCACGTGTAGCTTTGTTTTTAAAAACACGTGACTTTACATACAGTATTGTTGCAGTCGAATAACTTTGTTATAAAACAATATCATATATTGGCGCCACGTCACAAAATACTTACCAAATCAGTTGTTCATGCTATCAGCCTTAAAACGAGTCAATTAATTATAATCATGTTTTCTTCGTGTCGCTTATAAGATTCCAATGGCAAACTTTTGCTCTATATACAGGTACATCGCAAAAAGAAACTTTTCCTTGTAAAATATATAGCTTTGATTAATTAATGGATCACAACTTATTAATCGCAAAAATATATTACGTTTGTTGACATAGTTAAGCAATTCGCAGAAGAGAGATTAAATTGATTAGAATACTTATGAATATTGAACCTATCTTTAGACATTAGTGATGTTTAACATAAATATGCAAATCACATATTTTTACCACTATTTGGATTGGTATAATAAAATTAAGGTATTTTTTTTTTAATAAACGATTTAGCTGGTTAATTGTTTAACTGATAATTTGATCAAATTACTTAGAAAATTATTATTTAGTTTTCACCATCGTTCATATCATTTAGTAACATACGGCTAAAGTTTATTAGAAATATGCTATAAAAAAGAGTAACTTATTCAATAAATATATTAAAAATTTTCTTAGTGAGGGGCTAGCAAATCTTTATTTAGGAAAATAGTGGAATTTCTTCCATATGTAATAAATAAACAGCTAGTATTTGAATGCATTTCCTACAGAGGCTTTTAAGATGTGTATTAATATAAAATGTATTAGACAAAACAAATATATTGCACGTTGACCATGGGAAAGTCCTACTTCTACATGTAGCATGAGCTGAATAAAATTTAAAAGCTACCACTATTCTGAGAAAATATTCTTGTTAGATAGAATTAAAATAGTTGAGTACGATATCAAATTAAGCAGGTCAATATTTAAACAGGATAATTTATTATCAACGTAAAATTAAACACGCAAGGTTCCATCATTGTAAAATAAATAACTTTCTTAAATACCTGTCAATCTGTTTAGCTTGCTCATCGATTCCTGCCTAATGTAAATGTATTTATTTACAGCATGGCTAAAAATATATGTCATTGTTATAAAACATAATGTTGATCTTGCAGTATGTGACTCCGCTAATAATTCATTTTAAAAAAATGTTACATAGGTACAGTAATAATTGCTGTATGATAAGGTAACTCATTGAAATTTTACCATAGAAAATATATAACCGCAACAAATGTACCTTACAATGTTTATAACATCGAAACAAACACATTAAGCAATTATAATATTGCATTCTTACCTTTTAGACTCTATGACATGTTTTACGGGCACAATGGAAACTTGTTATAACCAAGGTATTTTTTTTCATATAGCTTGAATTCCATTCATATAAAAAAAGAATATAAAGTTAAATATCAAACGAGATGGTAAGATGTTTAAGATGGAAGAAAGTAAATTCAAAATATTCAAATAATAAAAAATCAATGGAATATTATAAAATATGTTATCACAAATGAACATGTGGATGTAAGTGACTAAAATAATACATTTAGATACAACAATTCAGTTATCAATTTTGGTTTTTGATTAATGCTATGAAAATGTCAAAAAACACACAATGGAATAACAATATTCATAACTAATTTGTGTAACACTCCTCAATTCAATGTATTGCATTTATTTATAAAAAAATAACAGCAGCATTATTTGCAATAATTGTAGTCCCCATTGCAGTGGAATTTCCTATAAATACAAAGAGTTAATGAAATATGTTGTTTTATATACCTTTTTCTGGGTTAATTTACATTTTCATTTTATGTATATCATTCAAGATAAATGTTTCTTAAATTCTATGGCGACTTCTTTTTGGATTGAAAAACCAAACAATAGCCTTAATAGGGTGCCAGCTTAAAAGGGCGTGGCCTTTATTCATGTTGACTATTCATGTTGTAATAAATTCCTTTTTCTTCTGACACATATTAAAGATCAAAGAAGGGTATTTTTATTTTTTTATTCACATTTGATTTGGATTTGTCATTTACTCTCCACTTCAAAACTGTTGCATTTCACTTGAATATATTTTGTTAAATGCCTCCTTGGACTCGACTTAATAATTGATCTCGCAATAATTTGATTGATCTGAGAGCATGCACCAACTTTTGAAATTGTTGACATCCAATTATATTATTAAGGATTTTTACGTTTTGTTAGAATAGTATGTAATATTTAAAGAGTCACATGTGTAAAGTGAAATATAAACGCTATATTGTAAAATTTCATAATTTTAGTTAAAAGGGTTTTTAGACATAAAATTTATCACGGGGTTAGAATCAGTTTATCAGTCTGAAAGCAACAAAAAGTATTACTTTGATTTACAAAGTCAAACAATTTTTTCATCCTGTACAAAGACAAAAGTGCTTACTAAACAGTTCAATATATTTTAAACAGTAGGCTTGATCTACTTTAACCGACAGTTTAAACAAATATGGAGAAAATATGAAACACGTCTTTATTCGAAACGAAATTCCGTATTATGGCCCATTTACTAGTTTATATAATTATTTAGATTCCTGAATAGCCTACAACGAAATGCGAATAAATAAAGATTCGTATAAAATGTACACTAGTGGTAAATAGTAATATAAGACAATACTAAAAACAACAAAAACAATAATCCAAAAACACCTAATTATCAAATAACGGCAATTAGCACAGTAACGGTAACAGATAAGATATTCTTTGTTGTCTACAGTCAAACAGATGTGCTTTCAAAGAGTCGAAATGCTTTTAAAACACTTGACAACCGTAGCGTCATCTACATCTGCGTTCATTGCAAACATTCCATTTCGGAAATGCAACTGTCTAATATCCTGGTGTGTAAGGTAAAATAATTCTCTCATTTGCATTGTAGACATTGCAATATAATATTTTGCATAGATAATTTTATAATGCCCAAAATATTGGTTCTTGTGTTTTTAAAAGTACCCTAGTTATTATTTTAGGACTTAATGTGAATTCTCACACTACACATAACCTAAGCAAAATATATTATTTTTTACATGATTGTGGAGTAAAAATCATGTATAATAGCATAGACTAAGCAACACAAGTATGATTTATCTATGATAATAGACCCTATTTACTCAAAGAGTTGAATGTGTCTGTAATTGGCCCGGCTACTTAAGTGTGGTTTTCTTTTAGCGAATTTCCCTATAGGGAAGTAGCTATTACCGTAGGTGGCACGTTAAGACCTAGACCCGGGACCGATTTACTTTTTCATTTTGATGTCCCCAGAGGCCAAAAACACCATTCGTTCAAATTTTTATATATGTATATATATATATATATATACAGATTTATATATATACGTCCGTGAACGCGATAACTTGAGTATTTTTTGCCCGCTTTTGATGAAATTAGGTTTAAAGGTGTAAAGCGGGTTAAACTTAAATGAGTTCGCGAACCAGCATGATCGGACCATGGGAACGGGGCATTACGGGGGATTTTATGTGGTAAAAATTGGTTTTTCTCACTTTTGACCCTCAAAACACAAAATTTCCCAATTTCTCTTTAGACCTTTTTAAAGAGCTTAAAATACAAATAATTTAGTATATAAAAGTTTTTTTTTTGTTATTAGTAACGGAGAAAATTTAAAAAAATGTAAATTTAAAATTCCCATGTTATTCTTATGGAAAATATTGTCAAATGTTGTAGTTTGCTTGTTTATGGATATATTTTGATCAAACTTGGCAAATTTATTTATTTTGAACTAAGCTATCAATATTTTACTAAAAAACACACTTTAGTTTCCTTGTAGCAGCAAACCTAGGTACTCGTTAAACCTAATGTTATTGAGATATATTTATTTGAAAATCAATTTAGACAAATGGAAATTCGCTTAGTCGGCAGGTTTGCTGCGGCGGAGGTATTTTAGTTTTACTGTTTTATCTATGGTTTTACCATATACGTTTTACATAGTGTAATTTGATTGTTGATGGACACATACTAGGACGGATAAAATAGTATCTTTCGTACCTAGGACCGAAAATGAGATTTTTTGCTTGGTCATTTTTCAGTTCGAGAACTTAAAACGATCGAGAGATGAAAATCCCTTTCGACCCATGGCACGAACACTATTTTCACCAAACTACGAGTATACATAATTAATTGAGAAAATGTATACAATAAATGCACACTAATATTCCACACAACTAAAACTTCAAAGTTATGTGTAGAAATATTTAAAGAAAACAGGAGAAATATATATAATATAATATATATAATACGTGAAGGCGATTTCTAGAAAACACTACTCCTCCGTTAATAATGGACGGATTTTTACAAACGACGTATCAAAATAAAGTATTTTTTGTGTAAACGCCCCCTTTCACCAATTCCTGCAATAAAAATCCTCGGGCTTTGCCTTACAGGCCATCAAAGTTGGATTTTCTCCCATAAGATTAACATGGGGGTAATTTAAATATTTAATTGGAAACTTTGTCCCCACTAATTTGAGAGAACGGCTGGGCGTAGAAACTTGGTAGAGGTGTCCAAAGAAAGGTCTTGGTCTGTAGATGAGTTATCAAAAGAAAAACTAAGCAAAATCCCTTAGGGCTCTGCCCCAGAAGTCT